AGTGCTTGTCAGACTCACTGTATAGTGTAAAGCCTGAAAAATAGAAAAATTCACCAGGCTTATAAAGGACAAAGCTGGAAATAGACTCCAAGTCTAAATTACAGTAAGCCCACACTGTTCTCCTTCCACCCTGAGACACACCCTGTGCTGTTTATTTCGATTTTCTTCTCATTACTTCAAAATCTGTTTGAAGTGATCAAAGGAATGGCTCTGTTCCCAAACTACTGGATTGGAAAGCATAGCCAGAACAATAAGAATACCATTATAGTTAAGAGGTAGGAATAACTAAATGAAAGATACCGTGTTTTGTGGCACTATGATCGTCTACATTTGCAATTTTAGATAACCTCAATAGGTCAGGGATTCTCAAAATTATCCTGAACAATCTCTTTCCTGTAGAAAGTAAACATGTCAGAACATAAGTTACATGAAAAATCTTCATCTGGCTGATGAAGAGAAAAAAGTAGTTCAATGCATTTTTCTCCCCAGACAACCCACCACCTGCTCAGGGACTCCTGCCTTGTGCTACAGTTTACTCCTGAAGAGGGACCTAGTCTCTGTCAGGTGTGTAAAGTGGAAACTGCTTCAGAGTTTGCAGAGATGTGGAATTTACCAGGAAGCCTTTAATCCAAGAGATAGGAACCAAGATGAGGGCCCCGCGTAGAGGGATAGGGGAAACCTACACCCCAGAATATAGGAGATCACAGGGACACCAGTCCCATGTGCTCTCAAACACAGAGGATCTCAGAAACAACTGTCAGGCTGAACATACCCTCCTGTATTCTGGCTTCTTAGGGGCGTAAGAGCCTTGGTCTAAGAGCAGAGTTCTCAGGTCATTAGAGGAAGGAGTACCAGGCTCTCATAGAAATGGCAGCAATAAACCTTAATGAGGATTATGGTAGGACCCAGCTAGAGAAGGAGGATCCCATACAGTCCCATCTCAACGGTCAGACCTGTGCTGTTCAGTCATCCGCCCTGTCAGGTTGTTTGTGGTTAAAACTGATTTTCCAATCAGGTCCCTGGAAAGTGAGTATTTTTCTCCAGGCTCCGTTCAGCAGAGAGTTGAATCCCAGGAAGGGTGCAGAGTCAAAGTAAACAACTTGAAAGAATACAAAATAACCCACAATTGGCAGGGCTGCAATTAATCCCTCCTCCACTGTTATCACTGGGAGGCACAGGCAAAAGCAGGCAGGCTCGAGTCCTTGATTTTGCCTGCAGGGTTTCAAAGAGATGAGAGCGTTGGTGTACAAACTGGATCATCAGCAGAGAGTGAAATCCCAGGCATGACAGTGTCATGGCAAAAATCCTGTATGTGGAATTAGGCAACCAACTGCTCCATAGCAGGTATGTCTTTAGAATGTTCCTATTTGTATAATAGTTGGACCCAGAAGGTCAGAGGAGGAGCTTCCAGGTGAAGGTTAACCCTCATTTCTTAAAAGGGGGTGGTCTCAGGGACTTAACATCCTCGGACTAACGGGGGAGGCCTCATTCAGTAAAGGAATGGTTTCTAGAAGGATTCAATATGATGGCATGGAGTAAGAGTGAGTGTACCCCAGAAAGAAGGGGGCCACATACAGCCCTGTACTTGTTCTCAGACTTGATAACGTATCACCTAGTTACGGCGGCATGATTAGTTAAGTTATACTCATTTTCTCCCAGAAGTCTCATGGAAGTGAGGAACTTCGTCAAAGTGGGCAGCCACAGATTCTCCCACAGATTATATATTGTATCCTCTGATGAGGATTTATTACAAAATTATCCTTGCTAAGAAGCATTTTTGGTTATTGCAATTTCTGTGTTTTGGAGATTGGTAATATGCTCAAGTTCACAGGACTAATAAGTGACAGGACTGGGACAAGGCTCCTGGCCTGAATTCCTCTAGAGCCCAAATTGTTCATTCTACTCCTGTCTACCTAAAGCAGACCTATTGTTCCTTAATATTCCAAAATTTACCTCAGGGAATAACAATAAGGACTCTGTGCTCAAAGAATTGGATTGGGATACATAGCAAAAGCAACTAAGAACACTGCAAGAAAGCGAAAGTTACGAATAAAGAGGAGAAGCAGATCATATTCAGTGACAATGTAACCATTTCTATCTGCAGAGTCAGATAACTTCAAAACCAGGGATCCCAGACCCCTCCTGAACAATTCCTTCCTGTTGTGAGCTAAATCAATTGTAACAGGAGTCAGATGGCTAACTGACTATTGAAGGAGAGATCGGTGTCATTTTTCTCTAACAGCCCATCCCTATGGTGTGCCCCCTGCCTTGTGTTACAGTTTCCCTATCTCACAGGTCTGGCACATGAACCTGCAATGTTTGGACACTGCTCAAGAATTTGCAGGAATGTGGCATTTCCCAGGAATCTGTTCAACTAGGACTCAAAATGAGGACCCCTGTGAATGAGGACTGGGGAGATAATCACTCTCAAATATATGGGGTCATTCAGAAACCTGATCAAACCTAGAATGTCCAGGCAGAGCATTCTGACTGTGCGCCCCATCTTGTACTCATAATTCTCAGTGAGGTAAAGATCTTGGCTAAGGAGAGTGGCTTCATTTAAGGAGAGGGTGGATCCTAGATTGGACAGATATCAAGTTGAGGACGCTGAAAGGGATGTGGGGACTGCTGACTCCAGAACAGTGCTGTCTCATGGAGACAGCCTTACCATCACCCTCTCAGGTCGCAAACATCCCTGGCCTAATGAGGTTTACTTTTCCTTCCATGTGGGAGGTCTCCACAAGTAATGGACTTTGACCTGAGTACAGTAACCTCGGGTCAGGGAGGGTGGAGTCCCAGAACTTGTCAGGAGCACAGTGAAGTCCCTGAGTGAGGAAAGAGAGGATCACTTGTCCCATAAATGAAAGAGCTTTACAGACCGGGGGGGGGGGGGGGGGGGGGGGGGGCGCGGAGCTAAAAGGCTGGGAAGCCTCGTCATTTCTGCCTGCTGATCTCAGGGAAGGATGGCTTTGTCTAACAAGATGGGATCCCAGTTCTGTAGTTCTGTAGCGGGAGGCTCACAGAATCCCGCCCCGCCCCTGTTGTCAGGCTTGGAGGGCAGACATCATAAGCAGTGTGTCCTGTCTACCTCACTGCCTTCTCAGGAACGTGAGGGCTTTGTTTGGGGTCTGGAAGCCTCGAGTTAGTAGAGGTTCCAAGTCTCACAGAAACCAAGGTGCGGACCACCCAGTCCCACAGAGTTCCTGCCCTGTAGTCAGCTGTTGGAGACCCTGGGCAGCTGTAGCCGGATGTGACTCGCCCAGACTTCCTGCTCGGCATCAAATAACGGACTGGCCGCCATATTTTTTTCCGTTGAGGTTGGAGTCACAGCACTGGTGTGAAGTCTAAGGTAAGGATCTGAGTGTAGACTGCTGAGACTACGCCTGCTCCCATAACAAAATTGAGCCTATAAAGTCCCACCTTTGTAATCAGCAGTGAAAGGTCTCTAAGAGCTCTCGGGCTAACGTCTCCCTGGGCAGCCCTTGTGTTCCTAACGTCTCCCTGGGCAGCCCTTGTGTTCTTAGTCATGGCCTTGGACTAAGAGAGTAGTTCTGATTCTTAAGAATAAGGAAACCCAGGCCCTAACTAGAGTGAATGAGAGGGTCTTCCTGGATGCTAATGATGGGATCGCTTCCCATGAAAGACAGCAACACAAAGCAGCACCCCTACTCTCAGTTCTGGGAGTCTCCTGGCAGGCTTAGTCATTTGGCAGGCCCCAACTTTCACCCAAGGAGCTCAATGGAGTGAGGCCTTTGTTTGGAAGCTGATGAACTCAGTTCAGTAGAGGGAGGAGTCTCCAGCTCTGATAGGTATTTAATGAGGACCCTAAATGAGAGCTTAGAGACCACCAGAATATGTGTCAGCCTGAGCCACCACTATTATTTCTGTCTGGAATATTCTGGCTGGTTAAGAGTGTTAGACTCATTGAGAAGCCCCAGTTCTACAGGGAGAGGAGATGCAGGGGGAGGTTCCTGAATGAATACTGGTGGTACCACTCACAATCCCAGGCCCTCCCCCCCCCCAAAAAAAATAACAGATCACAGAGAGTGCCCCCTTGAAGCACTGAGGAAACCAGGCATGGAAGTCAGGTGTATGTGATCCTCTTTTATTTGATGGTATTGTATGGGTGAGAGCTTTTCTGAGTGTATGGACATCAGATCTTCAGAGACAGTGTCCCAGGCCTTAATTAGAGTGAAGTTGAAATCCCAGAATGAGTACTAAGGACCCCAATGAGTCCAAGGCAGTGAGTCCCATAGAGCTGTCAGAATGGGTGCCCTCTGTCAAGAACAGCGGTCAGAGGTGCCCCTATATTTCCCCTTAAGATGCCTCAAGAAGAGGAGGATCTGAGTTTAAGGTATATATTTAGAACAGCATAGAAGAGGGGGCCCAGGCCCTGCCAAAAGTTGATGTGGTGATCTTGAATGGAAACTGAGGGACCCCCACACGCCATAGAGCAGGGGCTCCACAAGACTAGTGCTGCCTACTGCTGCAGTCAACCCTAGTAGTACTAAATGAAGCCTTTTAGTGAGCAAAGAGGGGATTATTAGTCCCAGAAATGAGGGGGCTATACAGACCCCAACCACAATTCTTAGCCATGAGAGACCCCAGGGGGAGCTAAAAGGTATCTAATGAGAACCCTAAGGGAGAGCTTAGAGACCACCAGAATACATGTCAACCTGAGCCACCCCTGCCCAGATGCCTGGTCTCTAAGAGCTCTCGGGCTAAGGGCTGATGAACAGTCTTAGGGAGGACTGTCCAGCTGCAGCCTGAGGCTCACTTTAATGATTCCCACACAGTTCTCAGAGGACAGATTGATTAGAACAGGAGCCCTGTAAGTTCCTAGAGCACTGCCCTCAAGAACAGCTGCAGAAGTGGCCTTCTTTAAGTCAAGGTAGCATATCCCTGATGTAAGTGCTCACACCCTCTCATCCTCTCTTCTCTCAGGCTCAGATAAACTGCTGCCCTAGCTGCACTTCTATCTTCTGTACTTGGCAGTCATCATGCCTCGGCATGAAAAAAATAAGCCCCATATCCGTGAGAAAAACCACCAGGCCCAAGGTGCAGCCCGAGGTCTGAGGAGTGCCAAGGAGAAAGCAGCCAAGGGAAAAGCATTGCCCTCCTCACTCCCTGCTCCTCTTGAAACTACTTTGCAGAGCAAGCCTGCTACAAGGTCATGTAGCATTCCCAGGTGGCCTCACAGAGCCCTATCTGCCATCACTAAGTCTGCAGGTGTTTCTCGCACAAGATCATCTAAAGGAGACAAGTACAAAATGGAGAATGAGAAATCCTCCAAGGCCTCACCTTCCGAAGTGCAGTCTCAAAGAGACCCCCTAACTGAGATGAGTGGTATGTTGGTGCGGTTCCTTATGCAGATGTACAAAATGAAAAAACCTATTAGGAAAGCAGATATGCTCAAGATTGTCCATAAAAAGTATAAAAATCACTTCTCTGAGATCCTCAGAAGAGCAGCTTTCAGCATAGAGGTGGTATTTGGTGTTGATTTAAAGGAAGTTGAAGGTAAGAAGCATTTCTATGATCTTGTCAGCAAAATGAATCTCCCCAACAATGGGAGGGTCAGCCATGGCAGGGTATTTCCCAAGACAGGTCTCCTGATGATTATCCTGGGCGTGATCTTCATGAAAGGCAACTGTGCCACTGAGCAGAAGATCTGGGAATTCCTGAATAAGATGAGGGTATATGCTGGAAAGAGGCACTACATATTTGGAGAGCCAAAGAAGCTCATCACCCAAGATTTCGTGAAGCTGAAGTACCTGGAGTATCGCCAGGTGCGTGACAGTGATCCTCCATGCTACGAGTTCCTATGGGGCCCAAGAGCCTATGCTGAAACCAGCAAGATGAAAGTCCTGCAGTTTTTGGCCAAGATTAATCAAACCACTCCCAGCGCCTTCACATCCTGCTATGAAGAGGCTTTGCAAGATGAGAAAGAAGGAGCCCAAGCTACAATTCCAGTAGGGGCTGATACCAATGCCATGCAGTGAATGAGTCAGGCTCACATCCAGAAACTCCTCCCACACCTGGTGAAGTTGAGGTACATTCTTTATTTTGTGACCGAAGAGAAAGAGAAGTCATGTTCCACGTAGTGGAGAGCTGGGTGATGGAGGAAACACACTGTATGATACCTTAGTGTACCTATTCTGTGTGGGCAATTTGGAGATTTCTCTATATTTTCACTTGTTCCTGTTTTTCGGTGCTGTTACATCTAAATAAAAATTTTCTAGCATTGCAATCTAAGTTAATTATATTGGTCATTCTTGTAATTTAGCATGTTTAAAAATAAGAGTTTTGCTATTTTGTAAAAACAAATTTGGAAAGCTTCCATCTTATTTAGTATTGTAGTACAAGATAGCACGGCATTGGAATATATGTTTTCTTGAAAATGTAAAGAAATAAAACAGTAAAATACATGGAAGCATTAAATAGAGAAAAAAGTAACATCATCAATTGGGGCTTCCCAATCCCTTTTACTCTGTGTTTTATAAGGTTTTAAATTACAGTATGTACTTGACTAATTTGAGAATGTAGAATTAAATGATAATAAATATACTTCATGCTCATTGGCTCATTTATTCCCCAAAACAGTAATTGCAAATCTGCTCTTAGAAGGCTCCACGCTAGTACTGGGGGGGGGGGGGGGGGGGCAGAAAAAAAGAAGACTTAAGCCACAGACCATAAATATTATAGAGTTGAGAAGCATCTATTAGATTGGGGAAATGGGGAAATGGTAATATACACTCTATTAGATTGGGGAAATGGGGAAATGGTAATATACACTCCTAGACTGAAAAACCCAAATGAAAAGATTGGATAAGAACAGAGGAGAGCAGTCAAGAGTGAATGACCTGAAGCAAGGCAGTGTTTGACCTAATAGAAGTTCCTTGATGTGAGGGAATTTCATATAGCTGCATGGTGGGCTAGATGATGCTGTGAGAATCTTGAGCAGAAGCCAGACCCTCAGACAGATGGTGGGCCACATAGTGTAAAGACTAAGATTAAATGAAAAACTCTAATAATAGAGGAATATGCAAATTCATCCATTACAGCATCACGCCATGATCAGATCAGCAGACTTCGTCCCCGCTCTCTGCTCAGGCAGCTGCAAGACCAGGGGTAGGATAGGATATAATAGGAGGGCAGGCCTGCATGCTGACAGGCCAAGAAAAGAAACAGAAACACAGAAAGGAAACAAGAAAAAGATGCAGGAATGGAAAAGAGAAGGAAATTGCACTTGGAAGGGGCTGGTGACCATGGGATGGGGGAGCACTGAGCAGGTGCACCTGATGAGAGGTGGGGAGTGAGGAGAGGGTACAGGAGGTGGGGAGTGAGGAGCCCTGCCCAGATTCAGGGAGGCGCCCACAGGTCCAGGACAGAGTGAAGGACAGTCTGAGGCCTTCTGGGCAGAGGTGTTACTGCTTCGAGGCAGCAGCGCCCGGGGCCGCATGGGCCTCGGCCACCCTGGTTGGGCCACATGCCCTGGGTGGGGAATGGGAGCAGGACAGTGGCAGGGAGGCCAGAAAAGGGGTGGGGGGTGATCACTTGTCCAGGGCTAAGCCCTGGGCTGGGGGTTAAAGCTCTCCTCAACAGAAGTTTTACAAAGGGAGGAAGAGAGGGAAGAACTTTATAAAGGAGTCAGTAGAGAGCAGAGTTAAAGAAGGAGAGAGGATGTGTGAGTGAACTGTAGGAGCTATGATGGAAATCAAGTTGGTTGTGTACTGAGGTCAGATTTTAAAAGCAGGAGTCAGAAAAGAAAAAAAAGATAAATTATAGTGAATAATTAGGCAGGTAGATAGATAGTAGATATTAAAACAGTGGAAGTAGAGAAGAATGTGGATGAGAAAGAGGGAGGAAAGAAAAGTTTTAAAGGAGAGCCAGTAGAGCTTAAAAGGAGAATGAGAAAAAGGAAAAAATGGGGGAGGGAGCAAATCAGGTCTGAGGGAGGAAGTGAAGAAAAAAATAAGGTGTGAAGGAAGGAAAAGGGAAGGGAGAGAATGCATAAGGATAAAGGAAATAAGAAATGTGGGGAGGGAAGGAGGGTAGGAGAAAAATGGCAAGAAAGATGATGGAACAGAAGTAGGAAATAAGGACAAAAGAAAAGTTTATAAATGATGAGTCAGTAGGAAAAAGTGTTACATAAAGGAGAGAGAAAAAATGTGTGACAGGGAGAAGCCAATAAGGAAGTCAAATACAATTGTGTGTGAAGGGGATAAAATTTTTTAAAAGTTAATTGGGGAATCAGGCCGGCAGGGGAGGGCCGTTAGGGGGATCAGGCAGGCAAGTAGAGTGGTTAGGGCAGGTAGGCAGGTGAGCAGTTAGGAGCCAGCAGTCCTGGATTACAAGAGAGTTATCCAACTGCCTGTTTAGGTCCAATCCCCTAAGGGCTCCCAAATCGGAGGGGGTACAGGTTCAGCTGAGGGACCCCTCCGTGCACTGAGCCTCTAGTAAATAAATAAAAATAAAAGAGATCACTGCACAGAGCCTCTCTCCTGCTGTCAGTCCTATATACCCTAGAGTAATGCAGGCTGAGGTAACTCCTCATTTTTGCCTGGGAAGAAGGTGGGTTCAGATGGAAAGGCCTTTATCTAAAGTTGACAATTCCATTAGGCAGCGGAAGGAGTCTTGGCCTTAAAACGATTAAAGGTATGACCATCAGTGCTACTGAGTAGAACTCTCTTCATAATAGGGCATTGCACAGAGCAGCATCCTGGCTAGGTAGCCAGCTGTGGAGTACTCAGGGAAGTTAGAGCTTTGGTCTGAGGCTTGTAGACTAAGGTCAGTATAGAGAGGAATTCCAAATCCTACCTAGACTCAAGGTCAAAGTTCTGAATGAGGACTGAGGGAGCCACTGACTCCAGAACAGTGGGATCAGAGAACCTGTCCCTGTTGTCAGCAGGCATAGGCCACAATTATTCTGTCAACTTGGGTCCCAGGTATATGAGAATTTTTGTCTGAGGGTCATAGAGTCAAGTCAGCAGAATATGGAGCCTCAGGAAATGTGTGGAGTCAAAGTGAAGATCCTGAGTGAGGAAATGCAGGCCACTCATTACATAACGGAGAGAACTATACTGGTCTATACTGGTACCTGATACCACCCTTGCTGTTAGCTTTGGAAGTCTCAGGGCAGAGCTGGGAGGCTCAGATACCCCTGATTTTTTCCTGCAATGTTTTAGGGGGCCTTGATGCAAGGGCTGGTTGCTCAAGGAGAGAGAGAGAGAGAGAGAGAGAGAGAGAGAGAGAGAGAGAGAGAGAGAGAGAGAGAGGAGTCCCAGGCCATGATAGATTTCAAGGTATAAATCTTGTATAAGGAATCAGACAACCAATTATCCCAGAACAGAGAAGCCCACACAACTTTCCCCCTTTACAGTCTGCCTTGGGAAGCCAGTTTTAGAACTCTCAGGCTGAAGTGTCCTCTCATTTTCTCCAAGGGTGGTCTCAGTATCATAAGGGGTTGAGTGTAATGGGAGAAGCCCCATTCAGCACTGGGAAGAGACCCAGTTCCCAACAGGAGTCAAGGTGGTGACACTGAGTGAAGATGAGGTGACATCTCCCAGAAAGAAGTGAACCACATAGAACCCTGTCCCTACTATCAGACCTGGGTGACCCAGACATGGTGACATGATAAGTCTCCTTCACTTCTTCCCAGAACATCTTGGGGAGGTTAGGAACCCTGTCAATAGAAGTAACTGCAGGTCAGCAGATAGAGAATTAACAGGTAGTTCTAGCATCAAGAAAAATTTCACTTCTTCCCAGAAGATTTAAGATAGTTGTGGGCCTACCAAAAGTTGATGTGATAAATCCTACATGTGAATTAAAGGGACCCTTGAACACAGAGAGGACCCACACTCCCAGCCCTCTTGTCATCTTAGATCAGTCACAGGCAGGGCTGGCATGTTCTGAGGTACACTCGCTCCAATTTCCTCCACTAGGTTATCAGGGGACAGGACAACTAAGAACAAGAGCCTTGTGGGTTTCTAGAGAATTGCTTAGGATAATGATATCTTGGGTAAGCAAAACATACTTTAATTGTCTATAGGAAAATAATCCACTCCCACTAATAGCTGAAACCTGGTCTTAAATAATCTTACACTGCTCCTTTTTAAGACCTTTTAGGCAGACTGTCAAAGAGCGGTCTCCTCGAATCACCACAAGCACTTCAAAACCAATATATTAAAAGAGAAGTTATGGGCTCTCCCCTAACCAGGGTCTCCAGGCCTGGTATCAGTAAATGGCTCTACAATCTACTCTGTTGCTAATGTCAGAGACCTGGGCATTATTACTTTTCCTCATTACCCTCCCAAACTATCACCAAGAATCAAGACCTATTGATTCTACTATTAAATATTAGTTAACTAGAGGCACGGTGCATGGAATTTGTGCACTGGAGGAGAGGGGTCCCTCAGCCTGGACTGTGCCCTCTCGCAGTCCAGGACCCCTTACTTCTTACTGCCTACCTGCTTGCTGCTCCTTAGGGCTTCTGCAGAAGCAGGAGAGGCTCCCACCACTGATGTTATGTTTGCCAGCCATGAGCCCAGCTTCTCACTGAGCAGCACTCCCCTGTGGAAGCACACGGACCACCAGGGGGAAGCTCATGCATTGAGTGTATGCCCCCTGGTGGTCAGTGTGCATCATAGCGACCAGTCATTCTCATCATTCTGCTTAGGCTTTTATTATATAGATATTTTCCAAAGTATCTTAATTTTTACTAAACTGCCCTCACCATCATTTTTTCTGAATTTCTCCATTTGACTTCTAAACACTGATTTCCTTGCTTTGGTTTTTATTCATGCCTTCCAATCTTTTTTTCCCCTCAAGCTTTATGGCCTGCATTGCAGCACTGCCTTTGTGCTTCACTTTTGAGCTTCATGTTCATGAACTTGAGATATTTTCCAATGATCACAATCTAATTTTGTGCTTTACCATTTTGTGTCCTTGAGTATATTATAGAAATCTCCCAGAATTCTAGAATTCTACTTAGGGGATTTGG